CAAAAGACAAAATTTAATAAGAGCTACAATGGACAGGAAATTGTGGAGAGCCATGAGTACCAATGTCTTTAAGGATCACAACATATAGAAGAATAACAACAACTATATAATGGTCCTATTGAGTCAAGCATGCTTTAAATACATATTCATTTTTTTTTTAAATCATGAATCATCAGCATTTTTTTTTAAGTTAGTGATAAGATATTTTTTGTGTTTTTCATGTTAGAAGTTGACTGACATTTCCAACAAGTAACCTGAAACAGCACAAAGCAGAAGTACTACACTCCCCAGGAGATTTCATATGACAGATACATTTATTTTTTTTAAACATTTACAAAATTCAAGTTCTAATGGAGAATATTTTCCGTCTGTCCATCCAGGCCGTAAGCAAATAACAAGACAATAAAAGGGTAAATTAAAGGTGTACTTACCGCACTTCCCATAGTATTTGACTCGAATGTCTGTCATCTGTTGGCAGGCAGCTTTACGCATCTCACACATGTTGTCATAATCTATCCCATCGTTCCCACAGACAGGGGTACTGCCTATGTTGTCCCCATATGTGTTACATCTCGTTGGACATTGACACCGGTGACTGAACCCATCCAGGGAGGGGACGCACTGAGCACCGTAGCTGCATTGTTTCTGCTCGCATGGGTCCTTCATATCTGGTGGGTAAACATAACAGGCATAAGCCGGGTGAAGCAGGCACAGTGCAAACAAGTACAAATATATCAATGCAGGTAGGAAAGAAAACAACGCAACGGCTTCGAATGAAAATTTCCGAAGTGGCGACTTGAAAACCAGGTACATCCTTCTATCCTCTGCATTAAATTTGAGGTGGTTGAAAATTTCTTTCAAATGAAAATTTGCATTGAAGACAATGGTGGACAGTGGCACTGGTATCGAAAAAATGGTAACAGCCTTTTTATTTTTATTTGGTTTGTTTTTACGTGTTACTTTTTTGTTAGTTGTTCTTTTTCTTTGTTGCTTTCAATATTTGGCCTCTGTTCCTCCAGGAGAAGAAATTAGTTTTCTCCTTTTAACTTCTTCTTCAATTTCACCAAAAGTTTTCAATCTGTTGATGTTTCTTTTTTTCACCTGATTTACTGTTTTTCAAACTCACCTGTTTTGATTTTGGCAAGGTTTTGAGTTTGATGATGTTTTTTTCCTCCTTTATATATAAACTGTATTTAAATATATATATACATACAAGTGTGTGTGTGTTCTTTCTTTTTGTGTATATATATATATATATTTAGTTATATATATTTATTGAGAGCACTTTTTAAATTTGTGCTCTCTCAAGTCATTTCTTGCAGGTAGAATTCTTTTTTTTTGTTATATCTTATACCCCCTTTGCTTTTTTGAAAGTCTTCTGCAAGTGTATCTTAAGTTCTCAAGTTTTTCAAAAATGCAAAATGTTTCAAGTGATGCTAGCTAAAAATAACAAAAAAATTTAGTGATTATAATAAATATAGAGATAGATATATATAAAAAATTTAGATTCTTCCAAACTTGGTTCGACTTTTAAAAAATTGTTTGTAAAGTTTTTGTTAAATATGAGTCTGAAATATTTGTCTATTGGTATGAATATATGTGTAGTTATGTGTGCATGCAATTAATCTAGCACACACACACACACATATACAAAAAAAACTATATATATATATATAGGATAAATATATATATATATATATATATGTGTGTGTTAAACTTCAGAGAAAAATTTTTTAAAGTTTCTCTTCACTTTCAGTTATTTTTTTTTTGGTCTCTCCTTGTGGCTCTGATGCTGTCAAATTTCAGAAAAATGAATTATTTTTTATCTCTCCAAGATATCAGCTGCAAATTGTGGAATTGTTTTCATTCATTTGGCAAAAAGCATGTGCAATCCGGGTTTTTATCCCTGCAAATGCATCCTTATTGTTGCTATGGCAACATGATACATCTCTGCAGGTGATTGGGTTGGACACTAGCCTCAATGAATGGACATGAATAAAATAAAAAAAATAAATAAAAATAATGATGTTTTGCAATAACAATTAAAAAAAAAACAAAACAAAGTAAAAGCGGTATTGCTTCTGTGACCAACAAATGGGAAACTAAAACCGCATCCCTATTGGCTCTCTCTCTCTCTCTTACTTGTCTTCTCTCTTCGTGGTACCGTGTTGTCAAGAGTTACGGTAAGACCCCGTGTCAAGAGAGGACATTCTGTTGATGGCAACAATCGCACATTGAAATAAAGCACCATTTGGTGACATAGCGTTTCACTATCCAATGTTAGGTTTTAGATTGCCACGGCAACCGGTATAAACGGCCTGTCAGAGAGTCTCCCACATCGGATCAGTTGGATGGGGGTGGCTGGTTGGTCCATTGGCTTGTCCATCCATCCGTTGGTTGGTTGGCTTTGTGGGTAGGGGAGAGAGAGAGAGAGAGCCGGATAGATAGATGGAGAGCAAAAAATGGGTGGAGAGAAAGGAGAGATGGTGAGCTTCAGTGCAACAGTGGTTAAGTAGTAGTAGTAGGAACACTGGTTGCAACAGTTGCAGTAGAGGTAGTGGCAGTTGCTGTAGTAGAGGTAGTATTAAAAGAAAAGGTGGTAGAAGCAAGTGTTGAAGAGTGGGATGAGGTAAGTTTAGGGCGGGAAGGCTAGTGGAGGGGGGGAATGCAAAAAGGGAAGAACTAGTTGGATGAGTGAGAGACAAAGTTAGAGGAGACTATGAAAGGATGGTGGGAGGGAGTTGAGAGAAGAGAGATTGGTGTGAAAAATAAATAATTTAGAGAGAGAAAGAAGATTGGAGTGGGAGGAGAAAATGTAAAACTGAATGGAAGTATGTATTTGTGAGGTTGGTGAAGGGGTTGTTGTTGAGGTTTGGGATAAAGATGGAAGCTGAGAGAGAGAGAGAGTGGTGTCTCTTTCACCTACTCAGTTTAAGCAAGGAAGCTGATTGCAGTAGCAGAAGTGGTGGTTGTACAAGTCAAAGTAGTAGTTGCAGCTGAATGAGCAGTAGTAGTTGTAATGGTAGTATTAGTGGTGGTAGCAGAACTTTCAGAAATAATAATGGTGAAAGTGGTGGCGGTGTGAGCACAGGTTCTCTTCAGAGATAAAACTGACGTAGACCTCGCAACGACGGAGCTTCGTTACTCGGCATTAAATATTAAACATACTGTAACGTGTCGCGCTTGTAGTTTGCGATCAAGCATCGAAAGTGTTTTGCAGTTATCGTCGATAATGTAACTGGTGAGGATATTTCAGTGCACGGAAACTTACGACTTCAGTGATGTTGACAGTGGTGCTGTTACTGATGCTGGCTCAACAGAAGAGGTTATTGGTGATCGAAGCCTGGGGTAGCGGTTCTTCTTGATGATGTTTTAATAACAGTTATTAGTGCTGCTTCAATTTTTGGTTTTATTTTTATTGTTTCTTTATTTTTTTTTTCTTGTTTGTTATTATTGATAGTGTCAGCAGAGGAGTGGGAGTGACAGTAGTAGTAGTAGTTATTACTTTGTTTTTTTTTGTTATAGATGTTGTTGTTGCTGTTGTGTTAGTTTTGTTGATTGCAATCACACATTAGCATATTCCTGCTTTCTCTAACCAACAGATTTTATCTCTTATCATATTTCAACCTGATGCATACATGTACACCTTAACGTTCAAGTAAGGTAGTCCAGTACAGATTTTTTTTTTAAAAAAAAAAAAGAAGAAGAAGCAACTATTTTTCTTGATTTTTTTCTTTTTTTCTCCTCTTCTTCTTCGTCTTCTGCCGCTGCTTCTTCTTCTTCTTCTTCTTCTTCTTCTTCAACCAACTGTTTGTTCATTCATTCATTCATCTACTTATTCCTTCATTCAACAGATTGTTACCTCACCTGCCAACATCAACACCGGAACAGAGCTTGACATTATTTCATTCCCATCGTCATATTGATGCTGTCACCTTCATCTTCATCGTTGTCATCACCTCCATCATCTTCATGGTCACACGTTCATTATGTCCGATTGTAAATCTCTGGTACCTTCAAACAAAAGAGAATCTCACACTTTATACATCGAGTCAACTCCTATGTTCTTTTGATTTGCTTATTAGGTTATTTTTGCACCTTTCGAGGGAGTTTGTTTTATCCTTTTCTTTTTTTTTGTCTCTCTTATTCTGTCCCTTTTCTGCCACTCTCGGTTTGTCTTCCGTCAGTCTTCAGTTCTTCACACACCAGCAACAGTGGCGGTGGCAGCAGCAGCAGCTGCAGCAGCAGCCACGCTCACAGTCGTTGTATCTACCTGCTCATTCCTATGCTCGATAGCCTGCTAGGCCACACGTCGAAAAGCCAGCCTCTCGTCCAAATGTAATTCTGCAGCAGCAACTTCACTGCAGATTTTGCTCTTTTAGAGTCTCTTCCTTTTTTTTACACCCTTGACACTTGTTCTATCCAGGATTTTTTTTTTTTTCACCAATTCTTTCCTCTCTCTTTTTTTTTTCCCCCAAATATTATTTGCTGTCCAATTCTTTGATAACAGTGACTACAGCAAAGCAGTAGAAAATAATAAGCAGACTATGTAGACCCTGATGGCAAACTGGAAACACTACTGCCAAAGCGTCAGTCTGTATGGCTGTACATAAGTATGTACGTAATACTTTTCTTTACTTCCTCTCCAAGGTTACCACAACGAAACAATAATCAATAATTAACTGTACAATTCCGCAGACCTTGTTTTCAAACATTCATCTATGGTCCAGAAATGCCGACCAACAAAGGTGGAAGAGAACTAAAAAATCAAAAGATTTCAGCTGCAAACACCACTTGAACCAGTGACATTAACTCAGTTTTTTTTTTTAATCATTTCTTTCAGATTTTTAAGCCAGCTTTTCTGCATCCATGTTTTTTTTTTTTTTTTTTTTTTTTCTACAAAGGATGAAATAAGGAAGGATAAAAGAGATGAGTTTGACACTTTCTTTGGTAAATTCCTGATACAGGAGGATCCTAGGAGTGACAATTGACAAAATAGTTTGAATTGGACCAGTTATACATCAACTTGTAGAGGTTATAGTAGCTGTGGCTGTTATTATCCTGATAGGTGTTGTTGATGTTATTGTAGTAGTAGTAGTAGCAGTATGAGTAATGGAAGTTAAAATGGAGGAAGCAATACAGATAGGTAGTGCATATGTTACTGTGAATGGTTAAAAGAGAAGGACAACTCATGCACAGATGAGGGCCTTGGAAAGTCAAAGAGAAAGGCGGAGAGAAGAGAAAGAAAGGCAGGCCTGTAATGTACTGCAGTTGATGAGTAAAGGATGGAAGAGAGAGAAGGATAAAGAGAGAGTTGGAAAGCAAACAAGTAGGAAGAGAGAGAAAAAAGAGCGAATGATAAACAAAGAGGGAGAGTTACATAATGTATGTATGCAGAGAAAAAGAAGTTTTTTTTTTTTTTATATTGGGAGAAATAAAAGATAGTCAAAATTTAAAAAAAAAAACCAAGAAGAACAGTTCAAAACTAGAAGAATTATAAGAGAAGAAATGCTGTGATCTGTGGAAAATATTGAATTGTAAGATGTAAGAAAAGATAATGACAAAAAAAATAGAACTTTGGTTAAAACATGAGGCGAAGATTGCAAAAACAAAAATGCCAAAATGTTTATGTTGATTTCTTTTCCATTTTTTTTTTTTTTTTTTGCTTAATTCCTGAATCTTTTTTCATTTTGATTCCGCTCAATGCTTTGGCCTCAACTTTTATTTCTTTATCCACTGATGTTCCACTCAACACTAACACTTGAGATGTGTGGCATTCATGTTCTGAAAAAGAGTATCCGTCACAAAAGACACAAATGGCAACCTTGTAATATTGTTTTTTTGCATCTGCAAGATTCTTGTATCAGAGCCAAATGTCGACACTTGTATTCATGGCAAAGTGTATGAATATTTGCTATTGTGTCGCTTGCCTTTGACAAATAAGGATTAATGGTGTTTGCCAAATCTGCCAGTGCATAAAATAGCTTGGCATAGGATTAAAGAGGAAGAAGAAAGAGAAAAAGAACCTGGCATGAGAAAGGAAAAAGAGGGTTGGCTGAAAGCGAAAGTTAAAACAAAGCAAGTAATGGGGGAAAGTGAAAGTAATAAAACAAGAAGTGGGAGAAAGAAAAAATAAAAAAAGGAAAAATAAAATGAGACAAGAAAGAAGAACATTAAAACAGACAAAAAAATGAGCAAAAATAAAGAAAGAAAAAATAAAAGCTTGAAATTAATGGACAAAACATAAGGAAGAATTAAGGAACATATTTGCAGAGAAAATGCAAACAAAGGAATAAAAATTAGACTCAAGATTAGAAAGAAAAGAAGGAATAAAGAAAAGAGTTAAAAAATACAAGAATAAAATTGTAAACTGTAAGGAATAAAAGTTGAATTTGAATTAAGATGGAAAATTATGCAGAATTAAACAAATAGTGAAAGGAATGATAATCAAAAGAGAGGAAAGTGAAAGTAATGAGGATTAAAATAGAAAGTGAAAGTAACAAGGAACAAGAGAGGAAAGTAAAAATAACAAGGAACAAAAGAGAGGAAAGTGAATGTAACATGGAAAAAAAAGAGGAAAGTGAAAGTAATGAGGAACAAAAGAAAGGAAAAGGAAAGTAATAAAGAACAAAGAAAGGAAAGTGAAAGTAACAAGGAATGAAAGAGAAGAAAATGAAATGATGCTCAAAATATAGGGAAGTGAAAGTAACAAGGATCAAAATAGAAGAAAGTGAAAGTAATGAGGATCAAAATAGAAGAAAGTGAAAGTAACAAGGATCAAAATGGAAGAAAGTGAAAGTAATAAGGAACAAAAGAGGAAAGTGAAAGTAACAGGGATCAAAATAGAGGAAAGTGAAAGTAAACAGGAACAAAAGTTTGGAAAGTGAAAGTAATGAGGAAAGCGGGGAAAGTGAACAAAATGAGGAACGAAAGTGAGCAAAGTGAAAGTAATAGGGGACAAATAGAGGAAAGTGAAAGTAATGAGATTGAAAATAGAGGAAAGAAAAAGCAAAGAAGAGAGAAAAGAAAGCAAGAAATAGGAACAAAAAGCAAATGAAAAATTTAAAAATTGAATGGAAAAGGGAAAAAATAGGGCAGAGAGTTTTGAAGCAGAAAAAGAGAACAAAGTTGAAACAGAAAAGGATAAAAGGTCAGCAGATGAAAAAATAGGAGAAAGAGAGAAACATTGACCAATTAGAACAGACAGGAAGGATTGATGGGTAGCCTGAGATTCAAAGAAGAATGGCTCTGGGACCAACAGTTTTATCTAGTCATTGGCTGGTGTGCTATCTGCCATGGCCAGGTTGGCTTTATGAGTCTTCATCATTATGTCTGCATTCATGCTCTTTGAATCGAGATCAAACTTATCAATAACCATTTCATATAATTCATGCTTGACAGAGTTTCAATGCAACCAGCAGACACTGACAGAGATTGGTTCAGGCTGTTACCAATTCCACCACCATTGACATAAACAGATATTGAAGGACATACGCAACGCACACTTGGAGTTAGATATACCTATGAATATGTATTTATGTACTCATATGATTATTTTGTCAGAAGTAAAACAAAGAAGAAAAAAATCATGTGTTGGTTTTTATGTAGAAGTAATAACATGAAAAATTCAAGTCATAAAATGGACCTGTAACAAAAAATTGATATTAGAGATAAACATATATGCAATACAAATGGAATATATATATATATATATAACATCATCCACAGACAGACTGTTTCGCTGTTTCACAGCTCATCAGTGTGGCTAGACATCCGGTTGCCTTTAGCTAGGATCGAAACCCGACTGAATTAGCATCAGTCGGAGATTCTACCACTAAGCCGTCGGCGCACGGCAGGGATGAAGGTGAATTTTAGCGTATTTATTTTTTTTAGAAACACACACAGTGACCGACTCAATTCGCTTTTTGCGAAGAGTCTCGCTATATTAGCTATAATAGTCACTGTTTACAAACCCACACCTCTTCCTCAGAGAGCTCAACTGAAATTTATTTTTCAGGAGCCAATATATATACATATTTTTCAGGAGCCAATATATATATATATATATATATATATATATATAGTAAGTCCTACAGAAGGTAGTGAAGAAAAGTGAGAAAAAAAGGATTAAACTTTCAATTGTAAGAAGACCGAATGCATGGTTGTTAGCAAAAGAGACAGCCCAACATGCAAATTACAAATTGGAGATGCCAAAATCAAACAAGTACAACAATTTAAATATCTGGGAAATGTTTTGACAGGATAGAATGTGCAACACTGAAATCTGAAGACATAGCAAAGACACATTTCATAAACTAAGCAAACTATTAAGAAACAGGAAAATGTCATTAAAAACAAAGAAATGAGTACTGAACTGTTGTGTAATATCAGTCCTCCTATAGTGAATGCTGGACAATCTCCTCAAAGATGAAGAAGAGACTTGAAGCAACATAGAAGTGGTTATGTAGAAGGATACTTAGAATACCATGGACTGAACATATGAGTAATGATGAAGTTTAATAAAAAAAGTTTAAATAAAAAGTACACTTATACTTAACACCAGGATTTGAGAGTTACATTTCTTAGGTACGTAACGAGGAAAGAGGGCTTGGAAAATGTGACACTCACAGGACAAATTGAAAGCAAAAGAAAACAATGAGTTTAAGTAAATAGTTGGCAGAGCAAGGTTTAGGAGAGATAATAAAATGACTACATTTATTAAAAGCTAAAAAGGACAGGAAATTGTGGAGAGCCATGATCGCCAACATACTGAAAGGACATAGCACATAAAAGAAGATTGATTTTTTAAAAATTGTCAAACCAGACTTGGAAAATGAAAAAAACAATATGTATGCATATTTTTTGACAGCTTTAAAAATTAGCATTTTAAAAAGTATATATTAGCATATGAAAGGGACCAAAAATTTATGTTTCAAAAGCAATTTTGAAAACATTGGTCGATATCAGACATATATATCCACCTGAGAATAATTACATATATGTGTTTGTTCAAAATTTCCTATATTTATGAGTGAAAGATTACTCAATATTGGATAATGAGCATTTGTAATTATATATATATATATATATATATATAAAGATTCATGACAAAATTCAAAGAAAGCTCTGTAATGTAATCAATCCTGACCAGGCATCTCAACTTCAGTTGCTTTCTTACCAACATGACGTGGCTTCCCTCTATTTTCTACAAATATTTCATGGCAACTGTTCTGGTGGGCTTTTTTCCCTGGTGTTTTGACTAAATGAATTTAAGTGTGCTATTAGATTGCCAACTAGGTCTCACCATTTTACTGTTGAACTAGCTAGATAGAACCACCACTTCTATTCTAATAGTTTCTTTTCTCACACTTCTCACCAGTGGAACTCCCTTCCAATTTCTTGCTTCCTTGCATTTAAATGCAACATCAATCACGATTTTCTGTCTTTGTAAACCCTGTTTCTTTAATATCTTTTCCTCACTCTTCCTTTCTACTAAAGTTTTCTTATTCTCTTTCACTCCCTGTAACCCCCTGTGGCCTAGTGGTATCATTGCCTTGCTTGGGGTGAAACAATTAAAAAAAATAAATAAATAAAAATAAAGCTAACCAGTTTTTTTTGTTTGTTTTTTTTTAAGCATTTAATCCCTAGCAAGGCGGGAAGCCACTAGCACGCAAGGGGTTATAGAGCATTTGGAGCAAGAGCAGATAGGAATGATAGCGGAAAGGATGAAGAGAAGGATAGGAGGTAGATCAAGGCAACTGGAAATGTCGATTGACATTACATTTGAATAGTTGGAGATTATAGCTATCAGGGAAACAGGAATAAGGAAGGGAGTTCCACAGGCGAGAGGTACAAGATATGAAGCTATTGGAGTAGACGAGACGGCTACATTTAACAGTTTCAACAGTGAAAGGGTGAGAGTGGGATGCCAGCCTCGTAGGATGCTTGAATTCGTGAAGTCTGGGAACCAGCGAACGAAGCTAATCGGAGCAATTACCATGAAAGTATTTGTAAAAAAGACAGAGAGAGGTGATGGCACATCTGTGAGAGAGCGACAGCAGACAAGATGCCAGATCAGGGCCAATTATATTGCATATGCGTCTCTGGATCTTATCAAGAACCCCGAGGCAAACAGTAGGGGCTCCAGACCATATATTGCAGCAATACTCTATGCAAGGGCGAATGGTTATCTTCTTTTTTAATTTTCTTTCTTTCATTATATTTTTTGATTTAACACTTTACTGTTATTTTTTTTTCCTTACTCTTCCTTGCCTTGTTTTATAGATTTGTATATATTATATGTTAATGTATATTTTTGAAAATGTCTGATTTTAAAGACAATAAAATTTGGTATCTTCAAGAGTTTTTTTTTTTTTTTAATATGGAAGGCTTTTATGACTATTATTTGAAACTTTAGCACTTATAAACTGTATGAAACATTTAAGGAAACAATTTCCAGAATAATGAACAATTTCCAGAATAGATCTTCACACAATATGTCAGACAATTGTCCCATGATTTCGGTAACCTATTAATTGTGAGTTCTATCCCTGGGATGGGCAGTATGTGCACAGTGGAAGCAAGTAAAGCACTAAAAAAATAAAAATTAGACGAGATATCCCTAAACATGAGCAGTTTTTATGCCCTCCTGCCATCTTCAGTGTTTGTCAATCCAGATAAACTTCAGGGAAGTCTGAACTGACACTTTATTTATTCTATTGGGGTAGATTTTTTTTTTTTTCTGTACATGTCAAGAGATAAGTACAAGACATCCTAAGACATGAAGAGCAGAATTATCTTGTAGATTAAATTTAAAGGCCCAGTTTGAAATTCCTTGAAGGTTAACTTGATCAACAAGACCCTGAAAAAGGCCACAAGATACAACAGCTGAAATGTTGTGATAATAGCAACAAAGATGGGGACAATAGCCTATGTGAAAATAATATAAACAATAAATCCTCATCCAATAAATTCAAACAAAAATTGACATAAAGACATTATCATATTTGGTTGAATCAAGTGAGGATTGGTGGAATCTTTGATACTCTTTGTGGTCTAAATACATAAACTGTCTTTTCTTTTTTTTTTGTTCTTTCCAAAATTACTGCCTTGTTAATCTGCCTTGTGTTCTTTATTAATTAGAAAAAACTTTTCTAATGAATTTCTACAGTTCAAACAAAAGCCTTGACTAATGTATTTCTTGAGTAAAAACAAAAACCTTGCCCAATGTATTTTTAGAGTTAAAATGCCTTAGCAATGCATTTAGATCTTAAGTAATTTATCTAGTAAATTATTTACATTTTTAGTATATTATTTTGTATGATAAAATAATTCTTTTCTTTTAAGAAAATATTAGTACAATTTATGTGTAAATACTATTAAGTAAAAAACTTTTTCCCGTCCTAAAAAATTAGGTATTAATTGTTATTAAACAGTAATTGACATTTATTGCTCAATTCAATTAATTTATTCTTATAAATATATTATTACCAATTATTTAAACATACATCCCTCAAGATTTTGTAAAAAGAAATGATATGAATAAGACAATATAAATAAAACAATAATATGAATAAGCTTCTTTTAATTTACAAACATATTAACACACACTTTATGTAATATATATATATATATATATATATATATATATATACACCATATATGCTTGTGTATCATACAACTCTTGAAAACCTAATTTTGAAGCTAATTTTAAGGGGGTCACATCATACATGAGATAAAAAAAATTAGTGTATGTATTGCTGGCCCTGGCTTCACTGTTGACCAAAATATATATCCATTTACTGTAGACAAGAGGTATAGCTGTATTTAAAGTAAACATGATTTTGATAAAACTGATGTTTTACTTAACTGTATTCAATAATAATGTATATAATATTCACATATTAGTATAGTTGGCCACTCGTATTGGAGGATACTTGTCTACTAGGGTGGCTAGCCAATCCCTATTGCAGACGCTTGCTCAGGCACATTTGTGTTTATTCAACACTCATGGAGCCCACCTGTAGTTTATACTGCAACTATGCTGAGCAGACCTTAGTTACAGTTTCTGGGAAAGAGCGTGTTATCTAGCGTGATCAACAATTTGAACAAGATCAGCATACTCAAGCCCTCAGCCACGATGGACTTTGGGCTAGCACAGCTATCGATGGCACCCAAGGGTTCCATCTACCCAATTTCATTCACAAGGTTTGGGCCAAGCCATGGTATAGTTTACAGGCACTTTCCAAAGGTGCCACACACTGGGATCAACCTCACCAGTCTGATCAGTAAGTCTCCTTGATAACAAATCGACTAAGGTGAGATCCGAACCCGGGTCTCATTATCAGAATGCGAATGTTCTAACCACTCAGCCATGTGCTTATAACATTTTAGTATCATATTATAAAATACAAACATATTGAATATGTATCTTTTATGTTTATAAGATATTTAGCTCTTTCTCATTCAGTTGTTTATAGCTGTACACATTTACAGAATGAGTATAGCATTACTAACAATACTTTTATCATTCTCTTTTACTTTTTTAACTTATCTAAATCGAAGGTGGGATGAAGAGATAGAGGAAAAGAGATTAGTCTACTGTAATTTGGTCACTCATAAAAGGAACTCGCATGATACACGAGAAATCATTTTTTTATAAATTAAAATTTAGGGTTCACGTGATACAAAAAAATCATGTGTAAACACGTGTGTGTGCATGCATGTTTTAAAATGTATTTTACTACCATTTAATGCATTTGCATTTTTACCATCTCTGGTTACCCCTTACATTGGGAATGCTTGTTTACAAAAAAGCACCATAGTCACAATGGTTAATTTTAAAATAATTACAATATAGCATGTTCATGCAGGTTTACAAAAATCACAATGATCACAGTTATATTAAGTTTTGTCTTAGCAATTCACCCCCTGAAGATGGGGAAGATTGAAATTACTTGGGAAATGGTTACAACTACAGCACCTTCCTTAACGAATTTCATCTCAACATCAAGAAATTTATTAGAGAATGAGAAAGGATCATTATAAAAATAAATAAACATAATATGTTCAAATTATTCAACGAAACATGTTTTAATAAAGATATGCTGCCTATATATATATATATATATATATATATATATATATATAAATAAAAGAAAGAAAAAATAAGATATATAATCCGGTGTTCTTATAGATATTTTTATTTATACAAAATAGTGCTCAATGTAAATTTACAGAGCATTAATATTATAAATTAATTGATTTGAAATATGGTTTTTCCACAACACAGTTCTAACCATGTTTCAAAAATGGAAGCTAAAAGCCCGGAATTTAATTTTGTAATTAAATTAAAGACATTGGTTCCATTTCCTCCTCAAGCGAATTTTGGAGTAACTTTTAAAATTACTGGGTTTTAAAGACACAGCTAAAATCATAATTCATGTTTCCAAGTTTACAGATGAATTCATTTTACTAGACGAGGGGTTGTCTGGGTGTTCAATATGTCTATATTTTAATTTAATTACAAAATTAAATTGGGGCTTTTAGCTTCCATTTTTGAAACATGGTTAGAACTGTGTAGTGGAAAAACCATATTTTAAATCAATTAATTTATAATATATATATATATATATATATATATATATGCTGAGTGTTAGAGAATACAATAAAAACTATTCTTAAGGAGAGGTGTCTTATAAGAATTAAGAAGACAGAAGATAATGATTGATATTGCATTTAAATTTTTGATGATCAAAGTTGACTGAGAAACAAGAAGCTGGAAAAGGCATCCACAAGTGAGATGTGCGATAGAAGAAACTTTTAGTATAGAACTGACAGTTACATCTAGCCATTTCAACGGTAAAATGATGAGACTTTGTCTCCAGTCTAGTACTGCACTTCCATTCATAAAGTCTAGGTACCATAGAGGAAAGGTCATCAGAACAATTAGCATGAAAATATTTATAAAAATGGTGCAGTGAAGATATGTTATGTTGGTGGGAAAAGGACTGAAGCCGAGATAGCATATCAGGACCAATAACATTGGAGATTCTTCTTTGGATTTTATCAAGAATCTCTAAATATATAGCTGGATCACCAGACCAGATATAGCAGCAATATTCAAAGCAAGAATGAATGGTAATCTTATAAATATGTAAGATAGATTTTGGTTAGAAAAATTGTCCATCTCAACATAGTGAACCAACTTTCTTAGCTGCAGACTTAGCAATTGATTCAATGTACTCTTTCCACTTCATGTCAGCTGAAAACATTAATCACTGTCCTGGAGGTTAGCATCAGCCATGCTGATGGAAGGTATATATATATATATATATATATATATATATATATATATATATATATATGAAAAAACATTATATATTTTTATATATCAAGAACTATATTGGGTATATTGTATGGCAAAGTGAAAGAAGTTTATTTGTGTTGCGTTTCGTCCTTCATCATATATATGTGTTTGTGTGTGTCTATGTATGTATGTATGTGAGCATATCTAGAAAATGGTGAAATACAAATGTTATTCAAAGATTGAAATTTTCTGAATACTTATCGTCATCCATTGGGTTAATTTATTCTGATATCCTTGATAAAGGAATCAACTTTAAATTACCAGTGCCTTCATTTAACAGAAATCACCTTGATTCTGGTTTTGAGAAAAAGAGAATGTGGCAAAGATAAAACAAGTTCACCTCCTTTTGAAGTGACATCTGCATAAAACCTCAAAGATGATTAATTCATACAAGTCAGGATTCATTCATTTTAGAGTAGACAGGGATAAAAATAGATACATAGATAGGTATTGATATATAGATTGAATATGTGAGTATATAACAATTCTTAGGTGCTTTTTTGTGCTAATTAGGCAGCCAGTCCGTAATGAAAGTTGTGAACTCCCCTGGTGGAAAATTCTAGAACTAGGAGAAAAGAATCAATAAAAAGCCATTGAGTGTAAACGGTAAAAGAATTACAGGAGAAAAAATC